TATTTTCTTCAAAATTGTTGCATTTTTACTGCAATTTTGCTGCATCTTTTTATACTCCACAATTTGATTTTTTATTTTCAGTTCTCCTATCTCTTCACTGATAGACCAACTGAAAGTTGTAGTAAAAGTTAATGGTGTGGTAAAAAAGAAAAATATATTAAAATCAAGCAATATAAGTTTGCATGTGCATTTAAGTTGAGGCGTGCATATTGACCCAAAGACCACTGAAACCCATATGAAAATGTCAACAAAAAAATTACTTTTTGTGAGTGCAAGTACTCGCATTGACTTTTGTGTCATTAGTGTAAAAGTGCTATCTAAATCTCCTACAGCAATAAGTTGGCTTTAGTGACGGGACTTAACTGTCAAAAGTGTGGACTCCTGAGAGCTTTTTACACATTTCACATTAACATTAAAAATAATAACAAAAATAAAAAGTTTAAGTAAAATAGTAGTTTCCCTAGAAATTATTCCTTTAACTGCTACTTTAGGGTAGAAATGGGAATTTCAGTTCTTTTTAAAATAATTATTTCTCTTTGTAATATAATTGTATTTCTGCTATTTTAAAATTCATTCTCAAATAATAATAGCTAATTTAATTTTAATAATATAAACTACTAAGTACTTGGCTAAGAATTTATAAAGAAGTTTTAAGTTCACTTACCATTAAAAGTGTTTTAATGCCATTGATCAAAAATCTTCAAACTTTTATTTTATATATGTAAATCGTACTATTTGGCTTTTTATTTTTTGTACTTCTAAGTTTCCCTCTTATCAAGTAAACGTGAAAGTTATAATTGGTCTCAAAGGAGCTGCACTTATGCTAAAAGGATAAATGCATTTTTGCTATGTTGTACATTTAAAGGATTTGACCACAGCATTGAGGACCACTCCTTCATGGTAACATTTCACTGGAACAGTACAAACAAAAACTGCCAAAATTGCTCAGAAACATTTAAAAATTGTTTTTTACATTTGTTTATTTTTCCAACATTTTTCTTGTTTTTTACTAAAAAAAACTGTTTACTACTCCATTTAACCCAAAATTGCCAAAAATCACATTTTACTTTTGTGCTTAACCAGCGAAAACTTTGCTAAATGTTTAGGAAGAATATTCAGAAAACTATAATATTTACTATTACAACAAATAAACTGTTAAGCTATTAAAATATATATATAAAAAATATTTATACATACATATAATTCATAAATGCTGTACTGCTGTACTGAAAACAGTTAAATTTCAAATTATTATATTTATAATTTATAAGGTATGGTAAGAAATGGTTATCAGATAACTTCCAACACCTCAATTAGCTATTTTTCGCCGTTTTACCACCATATTCCTCGCAAGAACCTCTAAGATAGAAAAATATAGTCTAAAACCATCCCGTCGAATTGTAATAATTTAATAGGCCCTTTAATAGGCCAATAACAGTCTGATAAAATGTCAAAGAAGTACCTTCCTGAAAACCTATTTCTAGGTTAAGAATAATAATGCCTTTAAAAACATAGCCATCTGAAATCTGAGTTTATAAACAATGTGATTCAACTCAGATACACTAAATTCAACATTTCTATTCATTTATACTTGAATGAATCGATAAGGGTCGGATGCACACTGGCAGCAAAAAATGTCCGGTTTCATTACTCTGCCGCGAGAGAGATGGTTATTATTTGCTACTGTACACAACGGACCCACTAGTAAATGCAATCAGCTGAACAACGTTGGCCAATAGCAATAAAAAAAAGAACTTAGTGCCACCACTTCGACATTTAAGCGATACTCTATACATGATCTAATGTATCTAACAACCGATCTACGGCATGGAGGTGATGCCGATCATTTGTATCCTTAAATATAGTTACATAATAGCAATAAAAAATACTTGGTGCCACCACTTCGACGTTTAGGCGATACTATACTACTGTACACAGTGATGTCGCTATTGAACACTGGTCTTTAACGCTCGGTACCTAATATAACTCACAATTGTTGAAACTGCATAGAGGCGACCCCGATCGTTTTTATCCTTTAGCATTTTTTCCTTAGATTGTTAGACTATCAATCTATTTAATGTCAAAAGAAAAAAAAACGACAGTGTAAGAAGATTCCAGAAGGTAACAGTTCTACCACTCAAATAGGGCCATCTGATTCAACCGATAATATATTTGAAAATTCATTTGAATTTAATTTTTCTTGTGAAAAATTTTCTAATTCAAATGCAGAAGCTTAAGCTCTGTTACACATTGTATTTACAGCAGCAGTTTTTGCATTTATACTTTTGAGTGTTCTGCGATGACACAAAACCATCTCTGTGCAGAAGTATTTGCCAAGAAGCGCAACAGATGTAATCAATCAAACAGCCCTGACATGGTCTGAGTGACTTTTCTCTGCTCTATAAGATACAATTACCAGTTCACAGAAAGTGTTGACGGTCTTATCTTTATCCATCTACAAAAAATGTATGGAGGATGCATAGAGAATGAGACTAGACATAGATATAGTTGTTTATTCTCGTCTTGTTTGTTTTTATTTAAACTCGCTTAATTTTAAGACGACGAAATCAATTATGAATAATTAATTATTTTTGGTTTATTTTAGTTAATAACTCCAGTTGCTTTGTGGATAAGCATGTATCTATAAAAAAAACTATTCTTACTCAATTTCTCTTCCCATTCTTAAATCAATAACCACAGTTACGTTTCGTCATGGAATAGTGATCGGACTACCATTATCAAAACGAAGTAAATAACATAAAATAATTTTCGTTAAAATAAAATGTAAATAAAATGACACCAAAAAATTTATTAAAAGAATATTAAAATTTTGAACTTTTTCCTGTCATGTTTCACTACATCCACTTTATCCACTACACCTAAAGTTTTATCTTTTTTTGAAAATTAATTAAAATTAAAAAACTGTTTCACACATGGTGCTAGGCAAAGTTTTGAATAATATTTTCCTTAAGTTTCATTTAAAACTTGTGTCATAAGTTTTCAGCACATACATTCATATAAGAGTACATATGGGAAGGAGTACATTAAAGGACATACACCCCTACACTCAAATTATTTTAATAATTTTACTTACCACATATTTCCTTTTTTATTTTAATTAATTTTATGCTTTCGTAGTCATAGTTGGCTTATTATGGAAAATATTTTAAAATTTAAACTGTGTACTTATGGCTGATGTTAAATAATTTAAAAACAATTACTTTCCGATTTAACAGAGAAAATAATAATAAATATTTATCTTTAAGTGTATTTCGAAGTTTTCTGTTATATGCTCCACTTAAGAGAACAGAATCCTACAAATACAAACTTACATAGTTGGAAATTGTAGCAATTAACGGGGTATCTTGAGCATATAAAAGTTATTGTTGGGACTTACTGGAGTAACTACTATATTATATTTATATCGTATATATTAAAAGTCTATGGGTATAATTTATCATAAATAAAACAGTGTGCGTTTGTCAAATAATTTAAATGGAACTCTATTTTCTTTAATTTTTTGCTGTAAATAGATAGTATTCTACTATATAAGAGTTATGAGATGTGAGCATGAACTGTTAACCAGTGTTTGGAGTGTTCTAACGTATACTTTGGAGTGTTCTATGTTGGCACTAAAGTATATTCTACCATATTACCATGTGAAATGTAACCACGATGTGTAATCTTGTGTATCAACCTTACCTGTTTTTACACTTATACTTTAGAGTGTTCTGCGATGGCATTACGCCATCGAATATGATCAGCTAAATACTGTACTTGTCTGAAATAGCCACATATGTATTACCGCTTAGAAGAACGTGTTTCAAGTCACTGCAAGTAACATTAATATTCAATACCTAAACCAGGGCTCTCCAAAGCAAGGCCAAAGCAAGGCTACCACAATTGAGCGTTTTTTTCTTTGTTATATTTTATTAACATCACATTATTTTATTTTTATGGTATCCCAAATAAATAAATTAAAATGTTTTAAATAATTTATTACACTTCAGGTTAATTTAGCTAATTGACAAAGATTTAACATATAACATTAGATTAAAAATATAATATACTTCATATCACAACAACTAATATTAATAATGCTAATAGTGATAAAATTGTAAATGATAAATTGATGAAGAATTATTAAAACTAAATCTTTCATTACCGTCGTGTTTTTATTTTTCTCTGGACAAATTATGAACGTCTGTTTTTATTTCTACGACCTTCCAACCTATTCAATGATTTGTATTGGCCCACGATCTTATCTGTTCTGGACGGCCCTGACCTAAACTAACTGAAAATTCTCAACAATGAAAACATATTATAATTACGCAAAAGTTGTATAAAATTGTATACCACTATCTTTAAATTTTTTTATATTTTTTTCTGTTTTTTTACTTACTTATTTACTGATCTACCAAGAATTATCGTCATTATTTAAAGAAAACTAGTGTCATATCATTCTTATCTATTGGTTAAGTTAGATAAAAACCTAGATGCTAAATTTATACATCGGCTTTAGGACTATAAATCCGAATAATACTTCTGATGATTCCCACAAACTTCGTTCTTCGTATCCTATTATTAACTATCTGTCATTAAGTAACTTATTTATTTATTTTACAACAATGTTAGGCAAAGAAACAAGTCATAGATAATAAATCTAAAGAGACAAATTTCAGGTAAGACAACATAACATAGTAATGTTACTAATACTGTTAAACTTTTTTTAAAGTAAATAGTCTGGATTGATGAATGCTTACGATACTCATCAACAGACATTTACTTTGAATGCAGTTTTAGCGCAAAACAACAAAAGCTTAAAAGAGGATAACAAATTAAACACACACATATACAATATTTAATAAATGTCTAATAATAACTAAAAAAAATATACATCGTCCCGCTTATAGTATTTCGAAAATAATTTATAAATTTTTAACAACACTTTGAATTGAAAACATCATTATTTAATATATTATTTAATTTGTTTCTCATAGTTCGCCAAGAAAATGAGCGTATGATGAAAGAGGCCATGGATCGTGCAAGGTTCGGTAAAAATTATACAGACACTTCATCGATTATAACCTCACCAGGACTTTCAATTACACACCATCAACAGATTCCATAACAAATAAGTATATTTGACCGTAAAAGGAAATTAGATTTCCCTAAACGACAACACCTGATAAGTGAAAATCAGGGCAGTGGAGCGGGGGAAATAATACAAGCAGAAGAACTGAAACAAATAAGCAACGATGAACCGAACATTTTGCATAAAGCATTCACAAAGTTACTAACATATTTCAAAGCAACCACAATCAGAGAATTTCAAGATACAACAACAGCAGCATTAACAGCAAATGCAGTTAATACAACTACCATTACAACAACAATAGCACGCACACAAGCCACATCATCAGCTTCCACAACCCTAACAGCAACAATAATAGCAAAAACAAAAACAAAAACAACGACATCAACAAACGGAAACAACAACAATAACAACAACAGCAACAAATATGGCAAAACCAATATTAGTGAAAATGTGAAATACAATGAAATCAACAGCAACAATTACATTCGCAACAGCAACAAAAACAACGCTAGTCACAGTAACAGCCAGAGCAGCAGTAACAGCCCAAGCAGCAGTAGCAGCAGAAGCAGTAGAAGCAGCAGTAGTAACAGCAGTGGCAATAACGGATATGCCACTGCATTAACATACAAAGAGGAGGAAATCGTTGACTTGATGTTGATAAGCGAAAATTAAACACAAAACTTGTAGTGCTGCCAACTGCAACGAATTCACAGCATTCAAGTTAAGCGGCAAAGCAAGTGTAGAAATTCATTTTCTAAACAATTTGTGAAATTTTTATTGCATTGATAACACAAATAGCAAACTACAAATGTAAAAAAAACAAAAAATGTTGTAATAAATTTTTTTGTATTTATTGAAAAAAAAAATAATAAAATGCTACAACGGAAATATCTTAGATATTGGAGCAAAATAAAAATGCGAAAGTTGTAGATGTAAAATATGTGCACAAAACTGAATTATGTAAAAATATTTTGTTTAATAAATTTAAATAGAGATTTTAAAGTATCAGATGAAGAACAAACAATTTTTATAAAATCAAAAAAAAAACAGTTACTTAGAGAAATAATTTCTGCTATAAAGTTATTACTTAAAAAGTATTTTAAAGATACTTTGAATTTTTTTATAATATATTAGATTATTTTAGTTATCAAATTTAAGTTCATTTTTTTATTATTTAACATATTTTATGCTATTTTAGTTATGAAATTTTAAATTAAATTGTTTAGTATTTCAAAATTTTTAAATTATATTATTTTTAAATGAAAGATTTTCTGACGATAATATACTATAAGCAATATAATTTATTTCTAGTTATTTTTAACATAATGTGACAGTTAACAGCATTTTTAACTATTGTGTTAAACTGTTAATTACATAGTACAATTACATTGTTTATCGGTTTAATGAATTGTTTTAAAGTAAGCATTGTGTATTAAAAATAATTAATTCAAATTCAGAGAAAATCATTCAAACAGTAGTTTTTTTGAACAGTAGTGAACTACAACAACAAAAATTCATTTTATATTATTTTCATCAATAGAATTTTTGGCTGACCATATAGCTGTTTCGAGTATTGCCAAATACCCATTATGGTTGGTCTTGTATATAACTCCAAGACCAGATATACAGATAAATAAATTCATGACATATGCAGTAATTTTGATACCAGTGGTAGTCTGTTGGAATGGATACAGAACTTTACGCCTCTAAGATATTTAGATTTTTTGTAACCGTTTCTATTAATTTTAAAGAAATAAAAAAAGAAACTATAAGCAAAAAAATGAAACAGTGCTATGGAAATGTTTTCTTTGCAACGTCACAAATTGTCAATTAATAAACATTATACAATGAGGTCTAGAAAAAATGAAAATTTGATGCTTTGTTTTGTGATCGTACTTACTTCTTCGAAACAAAAGTCACTCAAGAATTCTTATTATATCTGTAGTGAAAATTAAATTATTAAATGATTTTTATTTTATTCATTAATAATATGCATTTGTTGAAATTATTTACTTATTTAACTATCAATAACATTTATTCTTGTTAACTGCATTCATAGTTCTTTCACGAAACTCAATATTTTCAGAGTAAAAAAGTATTAGTATGAACAAGTATGAACAAGTATTAAAAATCAACATTAAATTAATATAGAGAAAATGATATTTTAATAACTCCATTCCTGAAATTATATCAAATGAAGTCTAATATTGACTTACAATAAACCGGTAAAGAAAATTGGTTTAAAATATTGTAAATTTAACACAAATTTTAAATGAATCGGCAATGATGCGTGTTTATACCTGGAAAATAAAATCACTATATTTACTATGTTTTTCCCCGAATTAATGTAGTAAAATATTTAATGATATTTCCCTGTAACATTCGTTCTCTGTTTTCTTTTATATTATTATAGCAGAAATTATTTCTATTGAAATTAAAATTAAAAAAACAGAAAACAAATTTTAAATGAAAGTAAAGATAGGAAATATATAAAATGTTGTGTACACTGAAAAATATTTTGTGACATTATAGTTGTAGAAATATTATTATTAAATGAAAAATATTATATTGAAAAATATAAATGTAAAAAACGAATTTTATAAATGCTCAAAGAGCACAATTAAAATAAATTTGAAAAACTATATTATAGTGAAATAATCTTATTAACTAAAATTGAGATTATTTTAGGAAGACATTGAGAATATTTGTAAATTTGAAACCAAAAATAAAATAACTGAATATAATGACAAAAACACACAAAAGTTAAGAAACAACTATTTGTAGATCAATTAAGTAAAATTATATATAAAAACTTATAACTAAAATTAATATAAATTTAATTGAAATGTATAATAATTAAGTTCATTATGTATAAATTCATAGCAATTAAGTAAATGTTTGTATATGAAATTATAATATAAAATAAATAAGAAAAAATTAGTAAAATAAATTAAATAAAATTAGTAAAATAAATGAAATAAACACAAAAGATTTTACAATATAATTAAATGATTAATAAAATTTCAAATTGACTAAGAAAATAATTTAAGTATAAAGCTATTTCCATATAAAATAATTCGTTACGATAATTTTTAAGAATTAAATAAAAAAAAGGCGAGCTTGTTTTCATTAAAAAAATATATATAAAAATATAAATTTAATACTTTAATAAAACAAAATAATGTACTAATTTAAAAATAATTAATATAAAATTTGCCTATAAAGTGCATTAAATTTAATAAAATAATTTTTATATATTATAATAAAAATAAACTCACTCAATTTAAATTAGGAATTAGAAAACAAATTTTTATAATTTAATGTTTATTTTATATTTTAGAAAATTTAATTTAAATTATATGTTACACAAATTTTTTAAGTTTATTTAAAAACAATATATATTATCGCATAAAATTGAACTAATAATTAGTTCAATTAGTTCAATTTAATTCAATTAATACTAATAATAAATTTATTATTAACTATTGAAATATATGTTGTTTAGTGGACGGAGAATGAATTTTTTATTATTTTCAATGTATTTGTATATTAATTAAATATTTTAAAACGATTGCATACAATCAAATCGTCTCAATGAGTTCATTTTGAATTCAGCTCTCTCCTTTGCGCTGGGGAAAACAATGTATTCGTTCATTATAGAAGGCTAAAATTAAGTAAAAATTATTAATTAGCTAAAAGTAATATAAAGTTCTTTTAATTTTAAAATTAATTTAAAATTAAATTAAAAATAAAATTTAATTGTTTATTAAATGAAATCTAATAAATCAGTTCTCAGCAAATTTGATCAGTCAGTCGTACGGTTCACCTTTTAAACCTAAAACTTACATCCATATTCATTCATGCATACATACATACATACAGTACAAAAAGTAAAAATAAACAGGAACAGAAACAAAAGAAGTTGACCCATTTTCTGTGTCCCAGAAGACACCCTGAAAACAATAAAATAACATTAACAATTAATTAATAAATAATTTACTATTAACAAAAATACACATAACCACAGCTATAATAATATGATAACAAATATTGTGATTATTTATCACAAAATAAATTTTTTTAATTATTGTAATTACATAAAAATAATAATAAATAAAATAATAATAAATAAAATAATAATAAATAAAAAATAATAATAATAATAAATAATGATAGCACTATTAATAAATATATTGCCAAAAATAAAATTTAAACGAAAAAAAACCGAAGTAATTATACAAAATATTACAACATCTATAAATGAATATTTGTAAAGAAAAATAATAAATTAATTAACAGTAGAATAAAAAATATTAAAAATTAATAAATTATTTAAAATATAAAAAATAAATAAAAATAATGCAATATAATACAATAAAAGAAATAAATAAAATAAAATAAAAATATGAAATAAATGTTAAAAAATATATGAAAAATAAATAAATCTTACAAAAGATTTATATAAAACAAAGAATAGAAAATTATGAAATAAATACAATTAAAATTAATAATAAAATTTATAAAGAAATAACAAATGTTAAAAATATATGGAAAATAAGTAAATTTAATATAAAATAATAAAGAAATTATATCATAAATTACTGTATTTATAATAATAAAATTTGTAAAAAAAGTTCAGAATATAAAATAAAAAAATGTAATATAAATAAGTAAAGACATAAATGTTTAAAAATATATGCAAAATAAATAAATATAATAAATGATCAATATAAAAAAAAATATGGGTAATTATAAAATAAATACAATTAAAATTAATATTAGAATTTATAAAGAAATAAAACACAATATTAAAAATATATGAAACATAAATAAATTCAATAAAAGGTGTTTATTAAAAAAAATAATTAGAAAATTATATAATAAATTACTGTATTTATAATAACAATATTTGTAAAAAATAGTAAAGAATATAAAATTAAAAAATGTAATATAAATAAGTAAAGAAATAAATGTTTAAAAATAAATGCAAAAGAATGAATATAATAAAAGGTGAATATCAAAAAAATAATTATGAAATAAATGCAATAAGAACTAATAATAATATTAATAAAAAAAATATAATAATATATAATAATGGTATAATAAATGAATAAAGAAGCAAGTATTTAAAAATATATGAAAAATAAATAAATTCAAAAAAAAGGTTTATATTAAAATAAATAAAAAATAATGAAATAAATACAATAACGAATAATAAAAATATAATAATAATAATATTTTTAAAAAAGTAAATAAAACAATAATAAATAAAAAATAAATAATAAAAATAAATAATAAATAAATTTATAAAAATGTATTAAAAATAAATAAATTTAATCAAAAGGTAATATACAAAAAAAAATAAAATTAAAAGTTATAAAAAAATTTGTAAAAAAAGAAAAACGAACAAAAAGAAAATAATGGAATATACAATAAATGAAATAAATAATTAATTAAATGTTAAAAAATATATAATAAATAAATAAATACAATAATAATCTTATTTAAAAAATAAATATATAAAATAAATACAATATAGAAAATATAATGAAATACTTATAAAACAATACCTTCAATATAGCTGTGATTTGTGAAGAAACCTTTTTTAGCTTCTCTTAGTTT